ATGTTTCGAAGAGTCCTCTCTGAAAATGTTCCCTCAGCTTAAGATTTGGAACTCAGAGGAGGTCTGAGAGACACATGGAAAATAAGGGAGAGAGGAGTGGGCCACAGCGGGGTGGGAGACCCTGCACTGGCCCTGAAGCCACGCTGGGGTCTTCTACCTTTGGGAAGGCCTCTTCAAGAAGTCCCAAGTGGGTGATGGAGAGGGGCTCCCTACCACATGGAGGCCGCAGCCAGCGGGGGAGCCCTTGCATTCCCTGGGGGACGTGGTCAACTGGGGGGATTGTATTCGGGGCTTTATCCAGGCTTCTGGAGGCAGCAGAGTGGAGGGGTGTATGATGCCAGGGCGCTTTGGGAGGCCCGGACCAGGAAGGCTTCCCCAGTCTGAAGCCCTGGGGGCCGGGGAAGGTGCGGGTAAGTGCTAGGAGGCCGGTGCTGGGACTAGGGGAAGCTCGGCTCAGCCCCGGCCATCCGCCATGTGGTGGACCTCCTAGGGGCTTAGCAGCCTCGGGTGTCTGTCTGTCCCCACGGAGTAGGAAGACCCTGCCGCAGCGCGATGCTGAGCAGCCCGGCCCTACCTGGCGCGTCTTCGCGGCCGCCTTGTGCGCAAAGACTGCGTGCGCCTGGCATGGCCGGCCTTGCGCCACGGATCCGCTCTCTGCCCCTTCTTTCGCCGCTTGGTCCTCCAGAGGCAGGGCCTTTCAGGAAAAGGGGGAAGGAGCTTGCAGATGCAAGGGCCAGAATGCCTGTCGCAGCCTGCTGGGGTACCTTGGCTGGAGCAGGAGGGGGATTGCTATGTGGTCCCCTGAATGCAGTTTGCACGAAGGTGTGTTCTCTAGCCATGTTCTTTCCTGACCCAAGAAGATACAGTTCGTCAGGTCTGAAAGGTACTGCAAATAAAATGGAAGCAACACAAACACCATGGCAGAGACCTTTTCCCATAGAGTTAACCCTGCGTCCCCAAGTGGCCTTGGCTGGGTGGACTGTCTCTCTAACCAGGTCCAGTTTTGAGGATACTGGCAGGCCAGAGAGACCCGTGGCCTCTGAGCATCCTGCTGCTCCCTACTCCCGGAGAGGCTGCAGCTGGAGTAACCTTTGCTTCTCCTGAGACTCAGGAGGGACACCCAAGCTCACGGCTCTCAGGGAGAGGGACTGGCAGTGTGTGGCCCAGCCCTGGCCTCTCTCCCATGGCCAGACTGGAGCCTGTGGCCAGGTGGTCCTCCTTGCCCTCGTTCAAGTGGCCTGTCCCCGAGGACGCCAAAATCGTGACTTGCATCCTGGAGTTGTGGGAACACTGGGCTAGGAATTAGAAGACCACATAGTGCTGTGAAGACAAGCCCCTCCCCCTCCCTGGCCTCAGTCTTCTCGTCTGTAAGATGACCAGGTGAGTGCGAGGGCATTTTGCGGCCCAGCACTTTCCTCCCCAGCATAGCGGGGCCTCCTGCAACCTACCCTCACTTACCCGACTCCCGTTCCCCACTGCGAGAAACTGAGATCAGAAGTGAGAGGGAGAAGAAATGCAGGGCCTTGGAACTTCAGCATTGGGCTCATAAATTTTTCGGGGTCCATCTCCTCCCCTTTACCCCATCACTGCCTGGGGGGTCACCTCCAGGCCTGGGAGGGGCTGGTGAGCTGCACTCAAAGAACAGAGAGCAGCTCCCTGGAAACGAGCCCTGGTGCCTGAGCGTTGCCTCTTGGCTGCTCATCCCCACCCCAAATCCAGAAACCTGGATGGAGTGTCAGGCAAGGTTGGTCCAAGGGGAACCTATTGATAACCATCCACATGAGGTAGGTGGAGAGAGTGACACTGAGAAAAGACACCCATGGATTAATGGGCAGAACCAAGTTTTAGGAGAATGTGGACACTGCGTCCTGGAGCCCGTGCCTGGCGCCTCAGGGAATGTGTGCCTGCGTCGTCCCAGACCATACGTTCCTGCCTCTCAGGGACGAGGAGAGATCTGAGGCGTTATGCCTTAGGTGCAGCCAGGCCAGGGATGTCTGGGGGCTACCCCCAGGTGAGCGGGACACACTGGGTCAGAGCCACCACTGAGTCCTTCTGGCACTACGCACTGGAAATGCTTTCCCAAACTTTGAGAAGCATTCCCCGCCTGCCTCTTTCTTGCATAGCCTCAGCTCGCCAAGCGTTTGAAATGTCTGCTTTTTGACATAGGCATGTAAGGAAGGGAGTGGAATGTTTCAGGGCGTTTGGAAGGCTGGGCAGCTGCAGTCGGGGACAGCGGCTGTGCCTGGGAAGACGCCACCGCCTGGACTTGTGCAAGCCTTTCCCTGGGTTTTGCACATTCCTGCTCCACAGCAGAAGCAGAAAGACGCTGCTCTCGGAGTTGGATTCTCGAATGCGTCTCTCCTGGTTTGGGTTTTCCCAGCTTCAGACTCGTGGGCACTTTATCCTGGGGCTGTGAGTGTGTGAAAGCTGAAATGGAGCGAAGTGGGCTTAACACATTGACGAGCTCGCCAGCATTGCAGGTCCCTTAAAGGAATGGAGTTGGGGAGCATGGAGGTGGCGTCCCCCCCTCGGGGGCCTGGGGTGCAGCTTTGTGCTCACTCTACATGCCCACCCAGGGTGGGAGGTCATGGAGGCCAGAGGGGCCCCTCTGACCCCTGACTCAGTGGCCTTGGCCCTGGGCCTTCTCCTCCAGCCGCCCCTTGGGGACTCTCTCTCTGCCTCCAAGATATTTTTACGGGCAGGGTCCCCCACAGAGTCTTTCTCTCTAGGATGAACCCACATGCACCAACTCAGGCCCTACACACAGGCCAGCTGAGGCTTCACGTGGCCTCGGGCATGCTACCTCAAGCTCCCTGGGCCCATTTCCCAACTGAACATGGTGGGATCATCGAATAGGGTTATCGAGAGTATTAATGAACCCAATACACATTGGGAAAGTGCATTTGATGGTGCCCACCCGTGGATTAGACTCACTGTAGGCTGTTAGGACTTGCCTGGACAACAGAAGAGAAAGGATTCTTTGGTCTCAATTAACTGCATATATTTACCAGGCTAAATGCGGATACTCGGGCAGGGCAGTGGCCGTGCCCTAACTACCCCTGTCTAGACCCTTTAAATCATTTCTGGGAACAAGGTGAGTGCTAAAGAAATCAGTCATTTGGAAAATTCTCCCTGCTCTCTGGGGTTGCTCAGCATCAGCTGACTGGCCCACCCTCACCTTCATGGCCCCCTCCCCAGGAGAAGCGGCAGGAGAGCCTCCTCCCCCTCCTCTCAAAGCGGGAGAGGAGGGGGAGGAGGAGAGTGTTCTGGGTTTGGGTAGGATGTTGGTGACGACTTGGATTTCCTACATCTAATGCCCCAAATGTCCCAGCTCTGGAGGTGCCACACACCTCTCCTGTCTGGAGGGCCCCCTTTCCATCTGTTTATTCCTGACACATCGCCGGGAGCCTCTGCAGACACCTGAGGTGTCAGACCTCAGAGAGTCCACCTTCCGAAGAAATCACGTGAGTTCCAATCCCTGTTCTGCTGTTTACTACCTCCACTGTCTTGGGGTGCTCTGTGCCCAGCCTGTTTCATCATCTGTAAAACGGGCGAATCCATCACCCCTGGCGTTCATGGATGCTGAGCGGGTTCTCGAGAGAGAACTTCCACAGGGCCCTTAGCCTCCACACACAGCAGCTGTGATAATGTGATTGTTTCCTGCCCTGGCAACACTTCCTCACAGGAGACCTGAGGCGAGTGAACTTCCTGGCCTCAGTTTCCTGGTCTGCAGAATGGGAATGATAAAGATTTCTGTTTCTTTTTAGGATGGCTGTGAGGATGGAGTGATTTAATACAGGGAAAGCATTAGAACGGTGCCAGCACATGTTAGCATTGGAAACATCTTAGTCGTCGATATTATCCTTGTTGTTATCATGGCCTCAGATGTGTTCAGGTTGTCGGCAGGGTGCCCAGGCTGAGTAAGTCCTGCATCCTTCCGCCCTCACTGTTTGCAGACACAGTGCACACAGGGTGGAATCATTCACTCCTGTACATGTGTACATATACATATACTCCATTAACTGTCTCCACATTTAGAAAAGTGATGTAGATATCTGGAAAGATGATGCAGACATCGTTAACTTGAGTGTCTGCTTTCATATTTAGGGGGGAGCAGGGGAAGGGGAGATGCCCCTGATGTGGGTAGCAGTGTGAAGGGCTCTTGTCTCTGCCCCCAGCCTTTTTTTCTGAGGCCTCTTTGGTCCCAGGGCCTGGTGCCTGGCCTCCGCCCAGCCTGCCCAAGGGGCACACCTTCTCCCCGAGAGGTGGGGGTGGGGTGGGTGGGGAATGGTACTCTCTGCCCTCATCCCACGCTGAGCCAGATTTCTGCTCGGGCCCCAGAGATGGAACTGCTACGGTCCTTCCTGGAGCATCCGGGCAGGCGGGAGAGCTCAGGTCTTTCTCTCGGGCCGGTGGGGCGCTGCGCTGGCACTGACTTCTTTTCTGGGGTCTGAAGACTCAAGAACTTGCAGGGTACTTTCAGGGTCCCCGTTTGGCTCTTTGGGACACGCTCTGCCCGGGCTGTCTCCCAGGCTCGGCGGCTCCCCCACCGGGCCTCGGCTCCGCTGGGTCCTCACCGGATAGAGCTTCCGCACGAGGGCGCATCCGCTCTCGGACGCTAGGGGCTCGTGCCCTGCGCTCCCCGGAAATACGCGCCCGCACGGGGTTCCTTCCTACCGCGGCCTCTCCTAGGCTCAAGTTACAAACTCTTCACCTGGGAACCCAGGATTCGCACCCTGCCAGAGGGGCCGGGTTGGGGCGTCATTCTGGAGTTCTAAGGCTGGAACCTCCCGGAGACTTTGCAAACTTCTGCAAGCGCGCGGGACTGGATGTATCTCTCCAGACCGCAACTAGAACTTGGGTTTTTTTTCCCTTTTACTATCAGTGCCCCGCCCACCAGCCGCGCGTGTCTCCGCCTGCGTCCGGCCCATGCCCAAATTGGGCGGTGTTTATTATTGTGCGAATTCAAGCTCGGATTTGCCTTAGAGTTTAGAAGAAGCGCTGCGGCGGCGCGCCTTGTGGAGAGGCAGGGATGTGCGTGCTGGACTTCGGGTGCCCAGGAAGCTCCAGGAAGGGCTCCGAGCGCGGAGGTGGGGGAGTGCGTAGGGACACCCGTTCATCTCTTGCTTTGGGTCTGTTAGAGCGGGCGCCAAGGCTGGAGACCGAACTGGATCCAACCTTGAACTTGCTGGGGACGCGCTGGTCTGGAGAGGTTGGGTGACCCCGGGGACTGTGGGACCCGCGGGTTGCAGGAGCGCGGGCATTGAGGTTCTTTTTTCACCCCACGGTTGGAAGGGGCGCTCTAGTGAGGGCCAGAGAGAAGACAGCGCCCCGCCCCCTCCTGGCTGGAGGGCCATCCCTAAGACCTAGGCCGGGGCCAGGCTGGGCTGAACGGTTGGCCTAAGTTAGAAATGCAGCGCCGTGGAGGGAGGCCTGGAGGTGTCCCGGGGCCTGGCCTTGCGCTCCCTGAAGCCATGCCGGCACCCAAACCGGTTTTTCGACCCTGGTTGCGACTTCCATTTGGGTATTTCAAACGTCCCCCCTCCCCTGCGGTCTCTTCGGAACCCCCAAACACATGTTACTTTCCGGATTCCCCATTTTGGAGGGGAACCTCCTCGTTTTTCCGTATTCAGAGGTGGCTTGAGAGTCCGCTACCGGTCCCCAGCGTGGTGTCCTCTCTCTGCGACAGCAGCATCGGCCGACCCCCTCCCCATTCACGCACGTTTACCGCCTCTTTCTCCTTCCCGGCGGGCGGGAGCGCTGGGGAGGGCCGTTTCTATGCCCACCTGCCGTCCTCACCCCTCCCTCTTCTCCGCGGCATCGGCATCGAGGCACGATTTACTCAATGAAACGTTAATTCAGTTATCCCGTGTTTCTTTTTTTTTTTTCCTTTTAAAAAGAATTCAGAGATCATAAACAGGAACTAGTCACGCCAATGCCTCTCCAAAGCGGTGGAGTGGGAGGAGGGACACCTCCTTCCGAATCAGCATCATTCAGGGATTTTGATTCAAACTGTGACGTGGCTAAATGTAAAACGGGGGTGGGGGGTGGGATAGGGCGGGGTGGGGGGTGCTTACACCCAGAGTGAGTGAGTGGGTGGGTGGGTGGGTGGGGGGAGAGCACCAGGCTTCCCAAATGCTTAATGTAATCACGGGCCAGCTGCGTGCACTTGTAAAGTTGTTATAACCCCCCTCCTTGGTATAAACAGGAAAGCGCAGAATATAAAGCAAGAGACCCGCATTCACAAATACCAGCTCTCCCGCGCCAGCTGCCAAATTCCCCTTTTATGGTGTTCCTCGCTTGCAACCTCAGCCCCATCAGAGAGACCTTAGTTTCCTCCCCTGAACTCTCCAAATGGGTTTATTTGAAACTTCCCTCCACTGAGCTGTGGACCAGGTACCCCAAGCCCTCTGCAGCTCCCCAGAGTCCTAAGCACTGGCCTCAGAGAAGCTGGGTTCCTGGAGCCCTCTTCCCCAGGTCCCCAGGGGGCCCTGGAGGGGGAGGCTTGCCCATTATGCGATAGTAGGCCCCTAGGAAGCCCCTGACTCCTGCAGGGCATGTGGAGGATGCCCTCTCCTAAGAGGGCTGCATCCTCTTCTCATCAGACTCTCAAATCTCTCAGACATGCCTCTCCCTCCTAAAATAGCTAGACGCTTTCAAAGACCTCCGAAGGCATTTTATGAGACTGTGCCATCTCGCCATCTCCTATTAAGCCTGCGAGAAGAGAAGACCTTTTGTGGGAGGCCCAGGGATTACGGAGCTCCCCCAGGCAAGTGGTAAAACTCAGCCCTGCGCCCACCCCCCCATCTCCACCTCTCCTTCCTGGCCCGGCAGACCCCGCGCGGAGCCATCGCGGTCCACATCCTGCCTCACTGACTGTGTGTGCTTACAGCGTCAAGGGGTGGACGTGATATTTCAAACATCAGATCAGTGCGTTTATATATTGGGTGCCCGGAAATTTTTCCAAATAAACACAGCTTGATTCAACTTGGGTGGGCGGACTTATCAACAGACTAATTCTATAAACAAATGAAGGAATAGCCCCGAAACCGATTGGCTGGTATCAAAAAGACACGTGGAGAGAAAAGCTTGGAGTTTTTCAGCAATGAAATTTTAATTAATGTGGGTGGGCTGAGAACACAACGACTGTTTATCATAGACAATTTATTTGCCAGCGCTAAGTCAACATATAATAGCAAACTTACAACAATTATTTAACATTTTTAAAGCCATGAAGAAGGGACAGAGCGCGGAGCGGCGGGGGAGAGCGGCAGAGCAGGAGGCAGACGCACGGCGGGCTCCCCCGGAGGGCCCTCCCGGCGCGGGGCGCAGTCCCTAAGCCGCCCGGGTTGCCTGCGTCGCGGAGAGCGCAGCGCCGGCGCCCACTCGCCATGAGCCACCTCTTCAGTCCCCGGCTGCCTGCTCTGGCCGCCTCGCCCATGCTTTATCTGTACGGCCCCGAGAGACCCGGGCTGCCTCTGGCCTTCGCCCCCGCGGCCGCTTTGGCCGCCTCGGGCCGGGCGGAGCCCCCCCAGAAGCCGCCCTACAGCTACATCGCGCTCATAGCCATGGCGATCCAGGACGCGCCGGAGCAGAGGGTCACGCTCAACGGCATCTACCAGTTCATCATGGACCGCTTCCCCTTCTACCACGACAACCGGCAGGGCTGGCAGAACAGCATCCGCCACAACCTTTCGCTCAACGACTGCTTCGTCAAGGTGCCCCGCGAGAAAGGGCGACCGGGCAAGGGCAGCTACTGGACGCTGGACCCTCGCTGTCTGGATATGTTCGAGAACGGCAACTACCGGCGCCGGAAGAGGAAGCCCAAGCCGGGACCCGGGGCCCCGGAGGCCAAGCGAGCCCGCGTAGAGACGCAGGAGCGCGGCGCAGAGGCGCAGCCAGAGGCGGGGAACGGGGCAGGGCGCCCCGTGCCCGCGAGCCCCCGCCACGAGGAAAAGCCCGCGCGCCCGTCGCCCCTGCGGGAAGGCGCCTCTCCGCCGGCGGCCCTGCACTGGCCCAGGCCCGCGTCCCCAGAGGTGGACGCAGGCGACGCTGTCCAGGGCGCAGCAGCCGTGGCCGTCGGCCAGCCAGCGCGCACGGTGAATGGCCCGGGGTCCCCTCGGCGCTGCATCTCCCGCAGCTCTCCGAATTGCTCCGACAAATCCAAGAGCTTCAGCATAGACAGCATCCTGGCGGGCCGGCAGGGCCAGAAGTCGGCTGGAGGGGGTGAGCTCCTGGGTGGCGCCAAGCAGGGGCCGGGTGGCTGTCTGGGCGCCTCGCTTCTGGCCACCTCCTCCAGCCTCCGTCCGCCTTTCAACGCTTCCCTGATGCTCGACCCACACGTCCAGGGAGGCTTTTACCAGCTCGGGATCCCTTTCCTCTCCTATTTCCCTCTGCAGCTCCCCGACACGGTGCTTCCCTTCCAGTAAAGCCAGCAGTGGCGTGGGTCTGTCCCGGGTCCTGGTCTGAGCTGCTTGTGAGCGACCACGGCTCCCACCGCTGGGGGAAGGAGTCACGTTTTTAAAGAATGATCTTTTCCTCTGCCGACATGTGGATCCTGGGAAGTGTTACCAACTTCTGCGCTCAGGTGAGCACCCTCACTGGCCTACCTCCACCAGGGGAGACCTTCCCAGAACCAGGAGCGTCTTGGAGATTTAAAAGACCCTTCACCAGCTGGGACTTGGGCAACTCAGACCTCCTACAGCACCAGCAGAAGAATTCCTTGACCTTAGGTCAGTCTGATGGTGTGATCTTCCGATACCCACCCCAAGTCCTGCGTGGCCGGGGCACTGGAGGGCCCACACAGCCCAAGGGCAGGACAGACGGACTCAGTGTGGTCGTTTTAGTCTGAGAGCCACGGTCCGACTGTCGCCAGCTCAGTTGTGGTTGTGGCCCAGGCCTTGGCTTTGAGCCCGTCGTGGGGATGGTTACCCACAGCCGGGTTTGTCCCTGAAGTCCAGTTGTGGGGACGCCGAGGGTGACCCCTGTTTTTCAGGTTCTTTGGCAGATCTACGGCCTCCTGAGGATTTCGGACTGATGTCCAGGTGGAAGCTGAGAAACCACACTTTTATTTTAAATAGAGTTTTTCTCTTTTTTCCTTTCTAGACAGTAAAGGGAACATCCTATATTCTTTGGCTAAATACTTGACTCTTTTTACTATAACAATCGCCCTGTGGAAACGTCTATATTAACAACTTCTACTAAGAAGGTGCACTCTACATAATATAGCATTTTGTTGCATTACAACAGCTCATTAGTCAATACGCACGTTCTCCAATGCATGTTACCAACCATAGGAGTGGTCCTGTCTTTTTGCTTTTGTTTTTAAGGGATCAAAAGATTTCAGGGGACACTGGAAGTGCGCGAGGGGGAGGGACGGTGTCTCAGACAACGTAAGATTTTCAATTTCCATGCTTTTTCAAGATCTAGGATTGATTTTGCTACATTTTCTAGAGTTGTGTAGTGAAAGACTGCATTTAATCCAAAAAGTTGGGTGAAACAGACACAGGGAAGGCAGGTAAAGGGAGAGATGGGTTAGGGCCCAGAAGAGCAAGGGCCTCTGCTGGTGTCTTCGGGAGGCCGCTCTGTGGAACCCAGAGAGCATGGAGCTTCCAGAGATCCCCAGCCTACTGCATCCCTGCCTACAACTTGGCTCCTCCCTCCAAGCCCCCACCAAGCAGGCCCAGGGCCTGCTGCTAAATAAACACCTGAGGGAGGTGACTGGAAGTCTGGCAGGAGGGGTGGGCAGGAAGGCAGGGGTCTGCAACAAAGACCTGGTTAAGAACGTGGAGATTTTCCCAGCCCTGTTCAGTTCAGCTTGGACCTTTTGGGAAATGCGTCTAACCTCTTAGGGTATCTCCTTGGTTGCTTTGGGGCTTTTGACTTTGAGTTCCTGAACCCCCACGTTACTTTAGTCTTACTCGCTCTGGGAAAGGCGCAGCGAGTCATGAGGTCTTGGAGACTGGCTGAGATAGGTCTGCAAAATTACTTCTTCAGTAGTTTCCAGGACTTCTATAAAAATGAACACAAACTTTACATCCAGAGAGCCTGTTGGTTAATATGTTGGAAAGGACATTTCGGACAAGCATAATAATTTAGTAATTAGTAGGCACAGAGTTGACTTTCTGAGGGTTCCTTCTTAAAGTTGTGTGCTGCTGACGGGTGCATATCTCCCTGACCTCATTCTACCCAGGCTGGGGGCATGCTTGGTGAGCTGCAGCGCGTCCGCGTCCGTGATTTTAAGAGCTTTGATGAGATCCCATTGTGGAGGTCCAGGCTCGCTGTGATTAACTTAAAATATGCTGGAAGGGCTGTCATTGGATATTTTGTTATCCCAAAGCCTCAGCCTTTGTGAATAAAGTTGTTTTTTTCATTAACCTGTCAGTGACTGGCTCAGTGGATTATTGGAGGGGATAAACAACGAGTGTTACAGGAAAGAGGGCACAGGCTATATTTGGGATGCTGTCGGCATCTCCAGGGGCCCTGGCTTCCGACAGTAGGTGCACACACAGTCTGTAGGGGCAGGAGCAGAAAAGCCTAGTGGATGCTGCTTGGATGTCAGAAAGTAAGATGAAAATTCCCCTGTATAGGATATATTTTTAATTTTTTCTTCTCGTGTTTGACTTGCTATCTCGTGTGCTTTGTTAATTTATGATGGCTGTTTTCTGGAGAAGCCAATAATCTAATACTGCCTTTTAAAAGGATAGTATGATAGTATTTTAGAGTTGCAATTCCAAAAAGTATAGTATAAACACTATTTTTACGGCACAGAAAAAAGGCAGGAGTATGTATCTATTTGGTAAGGGTGTTTATACATACATAAGGATAAATTCTGTTATCTGATCCCCGTATTCATCTGGTTTAGGAAAGCTAGGAGAAATGTACGGTGGGGTCATTTTCTATGGAATCTCTACAATTCTGTGCATCTTCCTTCCTACTGAGGAGAAAGAGGGGTTTTGAGTCTTAGTAATCCAAATAGTTTTTCTAATTTTCCAGATTTAACCATGGGCTCCAAATTATGGATCAACGAGACCAAGAAATGATTTCTACTCTTAATTCAAACAAAATCTCAGCTATATTTGGGGTAAATCAGAAGCAACTATCTTGTTCTACTCTTAGGCACTCTGAAGGTATGCCTCTGTGCTCCCATCTAAACAAAGGGAACAGAGTCTGTTTCCCGTAAGTGATCTTGGTTCAAGCCCTGGTAAAACACACAGACACACATACACACTGGTGAGCCTGCTGATCGTAATGGGGGCATGGCAGGTGTGTGTACAATGATAAATAAGTGTATATATGTATGTGTATATACATGTATACTTGTATGTGTGTGCATATGCGTCTGTGTGTGTATGTATGTTCTGTACATAGGAACGCTCAGAAGTTAAGCTTTTTTGCATATAAGTGGGAGAGATGGACTCAAATCAAGTGCTGAATCCTTTGAAATTAACCCAAGTGTTGATACTTTGGGGAAGATTTTCTTTTTCTATGTCGTTCAAGTCAGGGATAGTTTGTTTTTTTGTTTTATTATAGTGAAATTAACAAAGACTTAGATAAAAGGATCTTGGGAGACATATCGGCTTTGAGAAGTTTATGTCCGTGATTTTTCCAAGGATGAGAGAACTTTGCAAAGGCCGTTTGCTTAGTCTGGCCTTGGCTATTTGCTGGCTCCTGGGGAAGCTGACGGCCTCCTGGATCTGAAATGCCCCATAAGGTTTTCCAGAACCTGGGCAGGACATGTTTTGCCATTTGTGGATATAACTGGGTCTCTCTGAAAAGGAATCATGTGTGGTCTCCACCATTTCATGCAGAGCGGCCAGTGTATATCTGTGTGTGGGTTAAAGAATTAGCCACATGTGATGTCATTGTTACAGCCGAAGGCCGAGCCTGTCTGCCCAGACACTGGTAAGCTAATGTTAACATCGCAAAAGTGGGGGACGTTTCCAGGAACCGTGTCCTTCCCATCTTCCCAGTGGCTGGCGTCTTGCTTCCATAGAGTCAAAAATACACACGATGATAAGCAAAGTTTATTATTAAAATTAAAGGACATGAGTTTGTTGGAAAAATAGAATTCTTTTAATCCACATTTCAAGCAGTTTTTACAAAAATGCCTGAATAGCCAATGGCAAGTTCTTTACTGCACGTGCCTTATCCAGAGGCCCCAAACTCGGGGTTCTCCAGAGTCAGGCAGATACCATAGATGTGTACAACGACCTGCGGTGGCACAACAGGGAGTGGGGGCCTGGGCTGAACTGGGGGGTCTCTTCCAATGGTGTCCATATGCCAGTTGCACTGGGCAAACCAAATGAGTGACTCATAGGCCAGATGTGGATTCAAGCCCAGGGTTTACACCATGGTGGGCAGCTGAGACCAAGCACAAAATTCAGCTCTCCCCCTTGGAGGTGACTGGGGGAACATGTCGTGAGTCCCGGGGGCACATGGTCAAGTCAGGTGTCTTTCTTTACCCCGCCAGTGAGGAGGGAGCGTGAAGGGGAGGTGGCGGGGTGAAGATTTGGTCCCAAACTTGTTTTTCCATCAGGCACGAGAGTCAGGGTTCTGGAGGAAACAGAAACCCACTTGGACGGGCCACTGGGAAAGACGAGGGTGGAAGGACTATTTATGGGAGAGTGGGCCAGGAGAAGAGACACCCTCCCCCCCGGGGTGAGCAAGGGTAGATGTGGGTGCAGATATGGAGCTGGCACAGGCAGGAGCTGAGGCAAAATACCATACCTGTCTCCCCTCCCATCTTCCAGCCTCCTGTTGATACTTCTCATGGGCTGAATGCCACCAGAGGTCCAGCCTGCAGGGGGCCCAGGTAATGCGGTCCATAGGGGTCAGCCTGCAGGGGCAGAGAGGGGCTCCAAATGCACCATGGTGGGGATGGGGCAAACAGAACATGGCTGGCACAGCGGGGTCCTTCCTCCAGGGCCAGTTGGCTGCAGCTGCCCTGACCACACTGTTGATGTCCAAGAACCCAGACTAGGACATCTCCAACAACACCGGCGGCTGCACCCGGAATTCTAGGAGACTGGATTCTGCTATCTGGCAAGCTTCCAAGAGAAGGTGGCTCTAGATCCTAATCTGAGACCCTCTTAACCGGGCGGGGTCTGGACCTAGCTCCCGAGGGCCCAGCGCCTGGCCCTACCATCTCTGCTTTCACATCTTTGAGCCTGGAAAGGACTTGCCGAGTTGCTGGGGGCTGCGTGTGACTATCCATGGATTTGTATCAGTTTGTCAAACATTTGGAACAAAGTTATCCCTCCCTGGGTAGCATCCTGAAATTGTTTGGTGCTAGCTACTCTCCTAGAATGTGCGGCCGACACGTTGAGGAGGACGTCCTCCAGCCCAAGTCCAGAGGACGTAGGGCACAAACGAAGCGTCTCAGCCCCAGGCAGTGTCTAGGTTGGGCCTCTCGGAAGAGGGGAGGGAGGACATCTTGGTGTGCACAAGACCACATCACCTTAGACAACACGAACTCTAAACCATGACTCAGGTCCCTAGCATGTGCAGTGTAAAATATTATAAATATCGTGCCTGTCCTGGCATCCTGGTGTCACGCATCTTTCCCACATTGCAGGTCACCATCTACTCTTTGTTCTCTTCCACGTTTCTCTAGACACACCTACAAGTGGGGAAGATTCCTCTCATTAATGTCTGATTGATTCATTACCATTCAATAATTTGATGTTCGGGTGTGGGGGCGGGGGAGGAGTATGTCAGCTTCGTCCAGAGTGTAATTAGCCAGACAGAGGCTAGTTACCTAGCTCTGCCCTTACTTGCTGTGTGACATCAGGAAAGTGACCTGACTCTTCTGTGCCTTAACTTTCTCATCTGTACAAACAGGGATGATATTAATAAGTGCTTCCTCGAGCTGTTGTGAGGAGTGACTCAAATGATGGGTATAAATTCATAGGACAGGGCCTGCCCCAGTTCTCATCTGCAAGAGGGGACTAGTCAGGATGCCTCCCGCACAGGGCCCTGGGCAGAATTAAGTTAGGTAATACATGTAAAATGTCTGGCACACGGGAAGCCTTCGAGAAATGGGAGGTCTTATCGCTGTCCACAGACATAGCCTCTAATCTAAACACTTTTGTTTTATGAGTCCATTTGCGACTTCTTAGTTTGGTAACAAAATCATGAATCAACAACTCTGCTCACGTTGCATAATTCTGGAGGTAACGGAAGACTCCTGGGGGCTGACTTCTCCGGCGGGGCTGGGACCCATCTTCATCTCTTCATTGCCGTGTTATGTCTCTTGAGATGCTCCCACCGTTTGAACACGAAACCAAAAGCAAAATAAGCCGCTACACACGGCAGGGGCCTCTAGGAAAACCACAGGAGAGCCGATGCTCACGGCCGAGGAGGGCAAAGTGCCTTTGGCGTTTCTTTGCTGTGTCCGGGAGGTACAAGGATCTTAGAAGGGGCTTCCCAGGGCTGGCCGGCTAGCCATTGTGAGCACAAGGGCCTTGGGAATGACTAAAATTCTTCATTTCTGACCCCAGCACCGAGATGGATCATTCCTGTAGGCCAAGGAGACGCTCCACCCCTCTCCTGGGCAGAAAGGGACCAGACCCGGGAGCAATTTTTCCTAAACTTCTGCGTCTCATAGCCCGCCTTATAAAGTGTAAGGAACATTTCTTTAAATGCTGTGGCTAAATATAGCAGGGGCGTGGTCAGCTAGAACATTTTTAGAAAGCACATTACAAATCAGGAATGTTTTGGAGAAATAAATAAACTTTCCCACATTTTTGGACTTCAAGTCTGCACCGCGGGCTCCATCTTGAGAGCTTGATGGTGTGTGTGGGGGCTGATGAATAATTCATGCTCGGGCTCTCGCCGGTCCCTTGCTTCACTGCGTGTGGGGTTACAGGACAAGGATGGGTGGGGGTGGGAGACACCGTCAGCTTAAGGACAGCCCAGCGTCTGAATAAGGGCCACTCAGTGACATAAGGAAGTGGGGATTAAAGAGAAATAAATCCATTTCCGAAGCGTTTCATTTCTCGTCTCTGCTGTTTGTTCCGGATGTTTACTGGACTTCCATGTGAAATGAGAACAGATGCAGGACTGTGGGGCCCACCCCTGTGTGGCAGGAAGACCTGGAGCTCTTGCACCCTCCCAGGGCCTGTGTCCTGTGCCCAGGGAGCCCTAAGCAACTGGCCTGCAGTGGGACCGGACACTGTTTCTCTAAAAGCTCTTCAGGCGACCCAGCTGTGCGGCTGGAATTGAGAGCCGGGCGGTGAGGGGCCCACGCCATCGGCTGGGCCGGGAGGGTCGGCGGAGTGCTGTGAGGCGGTTCGTTCGTCTCTTCTTCTTTCTTTGCGTCCATCCGTATTTGTACACAGTTTCCACCGGGTCAGAATGGACTCTTTGCTTCTCT